TCTTAGCTGTAGAGGGCAGTGTCACTGACCCTCATATGTGGGATCTGAACTAGGGTCCTCTGGCATCCCAAGCCAGCTCTTAACCAACGAGCCACTCGGCCGACCCCCAGCTGTAAAGTTTTACTTTGAGTTAACTTCTTTTAGAGAGGGCTCTGGAATTTGAAATCCTCTCTTGCAATTCACTCTCCGTTGAAACCTGTCATTTGTCCCCATCTTTCACAGAACTGCTTTCAATCTTTTGTAAAGATGAGTTCCCAAGTAACTGGAACTGCTCAGTGCAGCATCACAGAAGTCATGAAAGAAGAGACTTCGTGAAGTAAAATGATGAAGACAGGCCAATGAATACGGTCAGAACGTCGCGGGTAGCCTTCAGGAATAAGTGGAAGCAACGTCTGCAGACTAGTAACCGCACACAGGAGGGCTTAGGCAGGAAAAAACAGTCAAGTAGTGTTTTCAGGGTTTAATCAGATGCTTAGATTTTCCTTTGTTTTAAAAAACAAAGAAGGCTTATTGGATACAAAAGATTAACAGTATAGAGAGATGGAAAAGTTGGAAGGTAGTGTAAGAAAAGCATATAAATATGTCAGCAGAATCCCAAAGGAAACAAAAGAAAGTTACAAATTACCTGTAGAAAAGTTAGCTTTAAAGCAAGGAAAACAAACATCTGACTCAAAGAAAAAAAGCAAAGAACAGTATGATGAAGCCAAGATTGGAAATAGCAACAGTGGGGACTATGCTAAGGAAATACTAAGAAATAAAACAATAGTTCAGGATATTAAAAATTTATTCTCTAATTCCAAAATGAATTATGTTTATTCATTGTCCATTTTTTTCTTCTAGAATGCCCTTCTCAAGGTCTCTAAAAAGATGACCTCATTTACTAAGCAAAACAAGGACATCCATAGAAATAACATTTCTGTCTTTATAGTGATTTTTGTCTCATTCTCTGATTTGAAGAGGAGCTACTTCCTCTTCTCTAGAACCATAGCTATTCACTTGTAGTCTCTGGTTCAATATCTTCTGGCTCTAAAGGACCTCATCCTCTTTCTAATATATTCTCTGGCTCCTCTTCCATGGATTTCATTACTTCCTCTAAGAAGATAAGGATTGTCCCAATTTTTAAGAAATCTATACTTCGATTCTACTGTCTCTCTTATTTTCAGCCTCTTTTTATTGTTAAACTTCTTGGTAAATAAAGTACATCCACTAGTTCGGTTTCCTCAACATCAATTGTTGAGTGCTACTAACATTTAGTTTTAGGTTTTTTGTAGGGTTTTTTTTTCTCTAAAACTCTTTCTTATTTACCAAGAAAATTATTTATGAACTCTTACTGTGACTCTGGCCATATGCCACTGGTTTTATATACAATGTTCTTGTTATTTTTAAAATAGTCTCTAATTTTAGTTTTTATTTCCTTTTTAATCCCAATTATGTATAGCAATGCTGTTTTAAAACTTTAATATATTTTAAAAATAGACTTTCGTTTAGAACAGTTTTACGTTCGCAGCAAAATTGATCAGAAAGTGCAGTTTCCACATGTCCCCTCCCTCCCCACATCACATTCATAGCATCCCTCACTGTCAACATCCTGCACAAAACAATTTATGACATTGCAATAAAAGAGTTGCATTTGTCACAATTCATGAACCTATTTTGACACATCATCATCACTCAAAATCCATACTTTATGTTAGGGTTCATTCTTGGTGTACATTTTATGGGTTTTGACAAATACGTAATGTCATGTATCCACAATTATAGTATCACACAGAATAGTTTCACTGCCCTAAAAAGCCTGTGTGCTCTGCCTTTTCATCCCTCTCTCCTCCTAACCCCTGGCAACCACCAATATTTTTACTGTCTCAATATTTTCCTGCCTTTTCTATAATGTCATATAGCAATATTTTTTAAAAATACTTGTTTAGATGGGGAGGGGAAAGGCCATCATTTTGTTATGGTCATTCATTAATTTTTTTTTTGCTTATTCATTACTTTTTAAATGCTCTACTTGGCCCTTTATATTTACTGTTTTACTCAAACATAGTATAATATACATATAAGCCAGCATTATAATTTTTATAGAATTTTACTG